ATATTACAAAAAAGGGGACCTAATTAATATTTTTTTTTTTTTTTTTTTTTTTTTTTTTTAATTTGACCAGAAACACACACAGAATGAGAGAGAGAGAAAGCAGGCCACCAAGTCCTGGACTCGAACCATGCTCAGCCATGTGGGAGTGTCCAGCGCCTTAACCACCATGCCACCTGCTGGCCCCAAAGAACAGTTTCTTCTTTTAAAGTTTATTTATCTACTCCAGAGCAAAAGAGACAGCATCTCAAACTGTCTTAATGCTACAGTCCCCTCAGTTTCACCCAACCCTGGCTCATGGGCTTACATATGCCTGGCATTCTCAGGGAGGGCCCCAGAAAAGAACTCTGACCCTTCTCATGTGGGTCAGCCTTACAGAGTGCCACATGTTACCCTGGTACCACCAAAGAACATTTTAAAAATAAAAGTACATTTGTCAACCGTACTATTTCTAAAATTACAGCAAGTCAGTAGTATATGAGAGTTTGTGTATGTTGAATAATTATTAATTGCAATCATAAGACCTCTTTATGACCTAGACCACTTGTAGAATTGTTTTACTCTAACAAAATAGAGAGAAAAATCATAGGAGCATTATATGATTGCTTATGGTAGACTTAGTATTAGTTTTATAAAAGTAAGGACTACAGAGTGATTTTTAAGGCAGATAACTTTAAAACTATTTTGATGTTTTTAAAGGGGTACAAAACATGTATTACAGGGGCCAGCAGATGGCATAATGGTTACACCACTGGACTCTCATGTAGTCCACTCGGTTCAAGTCCTGGATCCAGTGGGTTAAACTCATGTTGTGTGTGTGTGTGTGTGTGTGTGTGTGTGTGTGTGCCCAAGATCCTGAGGGGAGAATGGAGAAGGGATTTTGACATGGCCATCCTCCCTGGGGGATGATTTCTCACTTTCAGTCTCTCTCTCTCTCTTTCCACCAAGCACATACACCCTGTACCAAAACCTCTCTTAAAATAAAGAAATTAAAAAAACAGTAACAACAACAACAACAACAAAACAGCATGTATTACAGGGCAATTTAGGACACAATGATGATAAAATTTGACTTAGTCATCTTTGGTGTTGTGTATTATGTGAGAACTCTTAAAATGACAACTGTTAAATATGCATTTTGTCACAAAGAATTTTAGTACAGTTTCTCATTCTCTGTATGTCATGTCAAGAATATTTTATAGTCTTTTTTAAGGCCATTTGATAACGGCAATCATTAATATTTAGTCTTGGTATAAAATTGCCTACTTATTACATAATTGTGTTAATATTTTCCTTTGTCCACAGCTTGTTCTTAGAAAATGGTGTGAATTAATTCCTGGGGCTGAGTTTCGATGTTTTGTCAAGGAAAACAAGCTTATTGGTGAGTTTGGGGTTTGTTTGTATTATAACCCCTAAAAGTAATCTTTAAAGGAAGATAAACTTTTTATGGAAGTAAATCAGTAGTAATTAGGACAGGTATTTTAATCAGTTTTAATCTCAGATGTCACCTCTCATCAGTTGGTGCTACCTCTCTGGGATGCTGTATTGATAAGGATCCTGAGCCCATACCACACTCCACAGAAAACAGTATTATCAAGCAATCTTGCCTGTCTGGATTCCAGAGATAAAAGTGATGGTTGTTATCATTTTTTTTAGGATCTATATAGTATTAACTGCTTTCTCTTTGAGCTTTCCTAAGTATTGTTAATCATAGATTGCTTATTTATATATTTTTTTTGGAGAGCTTTTTGCTATAGGACGTGTGCGCTCGCCAGACAGACTGAGAGACAGAGCGATAGAAAGCGAGAAATCACCCCTCAGGGGGGATGGCCATGCTGCAATCCCTTCTCCTCCATTCTCCTCTTGGGATCTTGGGCACGCACGCACATGCACCCAGTATGAATTTAAGCCACCGGGTCCGGGACTCGAACTGTGATCGACTACGTGGGAGTCCAGCGACATAGCCATTACGCTAACTGCTGGTCCCAAAAGGAGTGTTTTTCTATGGCATGAACTATCAGGCTTGTGAAGGCAAGTAGCTTGTGTGAACAAGAAGACACTGCTTCTAAGAAGTGTAGTATGAATATGGCAGACATATGGAGAGGAATATTTTATGTGTTTTTGAAAAGCATATTGGATAATAAACAATATAACATATTTTTCTTGCCAGGTATTTCTCAAAGGGACTACACACAATATTATGACCATATATGTAAACAAAAGGAAGAAATTTGCAGATGCATACAAGACTTTTTCAAGAAACACATACAGTATAAATTCCTAGATGAAGACTGTGAGTGTTTTTTTATTTACCCAGTGAAATGAAATTAAATATATAATGTTACTCAACCTTATTTGATTGTGGAATACATCTTAAAAACTGGATTCAGAATATTATATTTTAAGCATTTTACTGTAGTGCTCTTTGGCATTGTTGATGATTTGCATGTTAATTTTACTTTAATTAGAATCAATTTCTAATAGTGCAACAGTTCTCCCTCCTGTCATTTTAGACTTTTGATTGTATATTTCAAAGAGTCTGTCCACACAGAACAAAGTCCTACTTTTCTAGCTTCTTTGTTTAAATGATCAAACAAAGACAGCTCCAGCTACAAAGTAGACATTGGTGGTTTGTTTTTAGGAACAGAAGGTATATTGTGGGAGAGTTTTCATGCATCTTAAGATGATATCTGCTATGATTTACATTTTTTCTACCTACCAGGACTGAGATATGTGGCAGATTTGATTTAAAATGAAGATGAATTAAGCATAGTTAGATTTTATGTTTTCTTTTTAGAAATTTTAATCATTTCATTTGCCAAATAAGTAATTAATACTTTTTTCACAAGTATATTCTTCATTTACAACTTTTTAAATTTACATATAACCGATTTATAGTGGTGAATGAGTAAGATGATATAGGTTTTTGGTTTGAATTTTTAAGTGTAAGAGATTGGTTGTAGATAGAAGGAAAGCAAAGTTACATGAATAAAAACACTTTGGTGTGCCTTTTTATGTTGGAAGTTTTGAGATTAAGAAGCATTAAGTCCTTAAGATCAACTCTATTCTGTTTGATTAGCTAGTAATAAGATGTACTTTAATTTTTAAAATGAGACTTAGGTCATGAAAATACTAGTTCATTAATTGAGTTTTTTCTCCTTTACAGTTGTATTCGATATCTATAGAGACAGTAGGGTAAGTAAAAACTATAACTGAAATGCTTTGAAAGGGGGGCTGGTTTTACAAGTAAGAGGAGGGCACTTACGAAGGAGCCACTGCTCAAAAATTTTTTCAAACCAGCTAAATTGTTTGAAATTCACAGTGGTCAAGAGTCTTCTCTGGCATGGTGGTTAAAGGCGCTGAATTCCCACATGGCCAACCGTGGTTCAAGTCCTGGACCTGGCAGCTTGCTTTCTCACTCTCTCTCCCTCTCTTTCTCTCTCACTCCGTCCCTCTCTGGTCAAATTGAAATAAACAAATGAATAAATAATAAATAAAGTTAAATAAAATAATTATTAAAAAAATAAAAATAAATTAAAATACACTTAATGTAATTAATATTTAAGATATAATATCTTAAATAATTATGTGCCACAGGTTTATGGCTTATTAATTTAACAGATAGGTAAATGGCCACCCTGCATCCTACTTTAATACTGGTGTCAGAGTTCTGAATCCACTTAAGATAGTTCAGTTTGCACTCATTGTGGCCAAGAATGTGTCATTTGGTATTTGGATACTTAGTTTCAGTTAGCAGAAATATTCTTAGCATGATTTGAGTCACTTTGATCTTTAGACTAAAGATGAGGTTAGAGTACATTTTACATTTATTCTTCTGTTCTTAACTGATGAAAACTTAGGTAGTGAAAAAGTAAACAAAGAATTCCTACAGCAGAGATTTCATTGTTCAAGACATTGGTAATCTTTTTAAAATTGTTTAGGTCACTAACTGTTGTCTTATGATTACTGCTCATTGGCTTAACTGTTAAGAAGACTGCATATGGGACCAGCAGTTGGCGTAATGGCTATGTCGCTGGACTCCCACGTAGTCGACCGTGGTTCCCGTCCCGGACCCGGTGACTTAAAACTCACGCTGGGTGCATGTGCGTGTGTGCCCAAGATCCCGAGAGGAGAATGGAGGAGAAGGGATTATGGCGTGGCCATCCCCCCTGGGGAGTGATTTCTCGCTTTCTGTCTCTCTGTCTCTCTCTGTCTTTCTGGTGAGTGCAGGCACCCTATAGCAAAAACCTCTCAAAAAAAAAAAAAAAAAAGAAAGAAAGAAAAGAAAACTGCATACGTAATTCCTCTTGGGATTTTGAGCATGCATGCATATGCACCCTGTGTGAGTTTCAAGTCTCCAGGTCCAGGACTTGAACTGCAGTTGGCCATGTGAGAGTCCAGTAATGTAACCATTACACCATCTGCTGGTTCCTCCATTAAGTCTTAATATGAATATTTAATAAACTCTAAAGTTAATTTTATTTCCTATTGCCCTAATGATGCAAAGAACTTAAAATACTCTTTAATTCCCAACACCCACTTTTGTCTTATATGTGATTTCTTGTTTTTTATTTTCAACTTGTTATTAATACTCCCAAATTAGTTATTGTTGCTGTTCACTTTCATTGTTCATCAGTGCTTCTTGAATCTTGCTGTTTTCTGGATCCAGTGTCTTTGTAGTGTATCCTTTAGTGGCAAATTCTCTTGGCCATTTGCTGTAAAGGTTGTCATCTAGCCTTCGGGTATGAATGAGAAGCATAGCTGGGGATAGAATCTTCAGCTGTGACCAGTTCTGTTGCATCAACACTTTGAAGACACTATTCCATTAATGTTTGCCTTTTTTTCTTCTCATACTAAGTCTGAAAATTCATTTCCTTTGTCAATTGTGGATAATTCTGAGCTATTATATTTTCAAATCTGCCTCTTTTCTCTCTTCTGTTTTCTTGGAATTCTGGTTAGAGATATGTCAGAGCTTCTCACTTTGTCCTCACACCTCTTCTTTTTTTTCTACCTTTCTCTGCCCTATGTTGTATAATCTTCTCAAATATATCTTCTATATGGTCATTGGAAAAGTCATGGCATATTTTTCTGTTTTTCTATGCAATAATGTGTCATGACTTCCCCAACTCAATAGTTTACCAGTTCTCTTTCATCTCTGTCTGATCTAATGTGTTTTTTAAATAATTATTTATTTAATTTTATTTATTCATACATTTACTTTAATTTGACCAGAGAGAGACACAGAGAGAGAGAAGGAAAGTGAGAATGTAAGTCACCAGGTCTGGGACTTGAACTGTTGTTGGCCTTATGGGAGTATCCAGTGTGTTAACCACCATGCCACCTGCTAGTCCCCTGATCTAATGGTTTTAACCTATCCATCAAGTGTTAAATTTTATCAGCTGTAATCTTTCATTTCTATAGATTATTTAGCTCATTTTCAAATCTTCGTGTTTTTGTTTGTTTGTTTTTTTAATCTGGTCTTAGGGTTTGATTTTTTTATATTTGAAAACTACCGATTTGGGGGAGAGACATACTTTTTAGATATAATTTATATAGATTAAAACTTACCTTTTTTAGTGTTGACCTTTGAGTTTTGGCAGACATGTTCAGTCATGTGTGATATGTTGAACTATTTCATCGCTCCCAACAATGCCCCTGTGACCCTCTCTGTACCTTTGCCCTTGCCAAATACTCCTCTGAAAAACCTTTTGAGTTATTTTTAAAATTGTAAATTGATAATACATTCACATTGTTTAAAAATCAAGTCAATGTGAAAATATATGTAGAAATTCATAGTCTAATTTCTGTGGCTCTGTATTCCTACAGGTGTACTTAATTATGTCTTATGTATCTTTCCAATCTTTCTTGATGCAAAACAAGCCATATACCTATTTTTTTCCATCTTTCCTATACAAGATTTAACATATAATATATACTCTTTACTTTTTACTTTTCACATTTTCAAAAAGCAGTATCTTTTGGAGAGCTTTCCAATTTCTTACAAAGGCATAGTATTTTGCTTTGTGAATTTGCTCTATAGTTTTAGTCACTTCCCTATCAGTAATACCTGTTTTTAGTCTTTCACAAATTACTATGATGAACAATCCTATGTGCATTTCATTTCATACATGCAGGTATATCTATGGGATAAATTCTTGGAACAGGGATTGCTGGTTCGAAGGCTAATGCATCTTAGTTTTGATACATATTGCATGTATCTTCCACAGAAGTAATACCAGACAGAATCCCACAAGGAATGTATGTTAGTACCTGCTTGCTTTTTCAAAGCTTGCCAACAGACTATGTGGTCACTTTGTAGAGTTCTTTTGAGTTTTAGTAGAGAAAGGATATTTTAGTATTTCAATGTCTATTTTTCCCTTTTTTAAATTTTTAATTGATTTATTTTATAGTCATTCACTGTACTTGATCACAGCATTCAAAATGAGATTTCCCATCCAGAATACACTGTATATTGTCTTTTTTTTTTTTGGAGAGATTTTCGCTATAGGGCCCGTGCGCTCGCCAGACAGACAAGAGAGAGACATAGAGACAGTAAGCAAGAAATCTCCCCCCAGGGGGGATGGCCATGCCGCAATCCCTTCTCCTCCGTTCTCCTCTCTGGATCCTGGGCACGCACGCACACGCGCCCGGCGTGAGTTTTAAGCCACCGGGTCTGGAATGCGAACCGCGGTCGACTACGTGGGAGTCCAGCAACATAGCCATTACACCAACTGCTGGTTCCCACACTGTATATTGTCTTAATCAGGGATATTACATCATCCATGTTATTGTCAACAAATAATTTTCCATTTCTTGTTTTTATTTATTTTGCTCTATTTTCCCCACTCTTGACTCCCTGTTTCTCACCTTTTGCCATGTACCACTCTCCTCCCACACTGTCTCTGGTATCAATAGTTACTTTCCATGGCTTTTTCCCCCCACATTTTATTGATTCACAAAATTCAGTGTCTATTTTTCTTATAAGTGAGGGTGAAATTCAACTCTTCATATATTTAAGGGTCATTTATGTGAATTGTTAATTTATGTCCTTTTTCTTTTTTCTATTGTCTTGCTTTTTTAAAATACAGAGTTCTTTATATATTACAGAAATTAGGCCATTGTTTCTTATTATTCCAGTTTATTATTCGTCCTTTGCCATGAAGAAGATAAATATATTACTCATTTCTCCTATGACTTTTGAATTTGAGTCATAATTTTAAAAATAACTATCCATATTTTTTAGTCTATCCATGTTTTTTATGATTTCTTATCTTATATGTAAGTCTTTGATCTATGTGGCATTTGTGCATTTGGTATGTAATAGAGATCTTCCCTTACCTTTTTCTAGATTTTTGCCTCATACCATTATCTTTATTTGACATCGTCCAGATTGGTGATGATTTTCCCAAGTTCTTGGGTCTTTAATCCCTATTGTATTTACAAATTCTTACTCATGTTGGTGTTTTTCTTTTGTTTTTATAAATCAATATTTGTTCTAATTTCACTTTATATTTGGTGAACTTGTTTTTTTATTTTTGAGAATCCTAAATATCTTAAACTTTTCATTTTTCTGTATCATGTTCTTCAAAACCCAGTCAGAGGAAGACAGCCTCGTTTTCTCCTATTCTAGTCACTAGAGTGCTTTTCTTATATTCCCTTTGCTGTCGTATAGCCCTCTGAGGCACATCTCTTGGTCCTAACTCTCTTTCTCCTGGCCAGTCACCTAGTCCATATTAAAACCCCTGCACTTAGGTTCTTAGGAAAAAAACCCTGGGCAGGGAGGTTTCACATCCTTGGTTTATACACTTCTCTGTGTTTTCAGGTTCTTCTTCTTTTCTGGCTCCTGGATATTCCTCTGTTTTTCTTATGATCTCATTTATATGTTTGAAGGAATTATTTTAAGCTGAATTTCATCTTGTTTGGAATAGGAGGCCTTTAAAATGACTGTAGCCCACTGTATTTCTGGAGCCCTCCTGTACTTTACACTGTAGCCAAAATACCCTGTTCTGAGAATGGGCCATCATTGCATGACCGTTGTATGTATCTTGTTGTTTTCCTCTGAAATGCTCTGCTTTTCTTTCTAATATTCTTCTTCCCAGATCATCATCATTATTTTCCTTTAAATTCCTAGTTACTTGGGGAAGCTTTTCTTGGCCTCACCAGGCAGATTTAGTCAGATTCTCCTGTCTGCACTG